CTTCAAATTATTGTTCCCTCCGTCCAAAAAGATAATCTCGTTTTCCTTTTCTGTTTGCCCCAAATTATAATCTTATTTATTATTTGAGAATGTAATTAATATATTAGTTTCATGATGTCCTTATTTAATGGACTTTGTTATTACAAATATAAATAACTTCATTATTCAATTGTAGTCGAGACAATAATTTTTTTTTTAAAAAATTCATCTTCCATGACATTCATTCATTTGTATTTGCATGGGATGATTTTGAAATATTAATTATCTTGATTCTTGTATTAAATAATGACTATTGCCAAGATTAGTTTAATTACCATGAAAATTGCATGCACAATTTAATAACATTGAATATTGATTTCATTAATGAAAGGGTATATATTATAAAAAAATGATAATAAAATTTATTACTTCAGCAACATTAACTAATTTTTCTTAATCGGTGCGAAAAAATAAATATGACTTTTTATGGAACGGGAGAAGTATGCATTTCCCTCCATTTTCCTTGCATACTATTTAGTTGGGTCAATGTATGGGAACATTGAAAATTTGACTATTTTTAAGAGTCAAACTCGCTTTTTATTTTAAAATATTTATTTAAAAAGCCAATTGGAGCATAATTTTAAAGTTGACTGTTTAAAATATAGAGCATTTCACTTTTTAAGAGTCTCTTTGAAGATGTTTTTAAATCCAAATATTTCGAAACCGATTTTACTTGCATTTATATACATATCACCTAATTTTTTATTTATTTTTAATTATAGAAGCATGGTGCAACTTATGGTTTCCATCTTCCACCATAACAGGTCTTGATTCCTTTGAACACAGAAAGGAAAAAAAAAAGGTAAAAATAAATAATTCTATTAGAGCCCTTTTTTTTTTTGGGAGAGAATTGATTTTGTAACAGTGATTTTTTTTTTTTATTTTTTTGGGTAAAATGTATGGCTAAAATGTAAGAAAAAATTTTGAATTTACGGATAAAATTATTTTATTAAAAGAATGTGTTGTTAAAAATGAATTTATGGATAATGAGACTCAAAGGGTCAGTGGCAATTCTGGAAATTGAGGCAAGAGAAGAGTCCTGTATCATCGAAGTGGACAGCTCAAGTCAAATATAGATCTGAAACGAGAATCCAGCTATGCTA